AGTTTTAAAAAAATTATCAAAAACTTTTTCTTCGAAAATAAATTTTTTTAAACAAAAACTATATTTTCTATCGCTCACGATAGATGGCACAACTAAATCCTGACATTTTTGTATATTAACTGCGAAAATTTTTGAAGTTGGTGCTACCACAAAATTACTGCAGTTTCAAACTGGGCAGTAATTTTGCAGTGTTTCCACTTCAAAAGTTATGTAGCGGAATGGGCCGAATCACCTCAGTAGATTTTATGTTTATTTTTAGCTGGGTTATTTTCAATAATTTGCTTGATTCCCGTCCGGGTTTTAAATCTAAATTTTACCTGGCACTGGGAGGGTAACAAATAAATTTTCTGCTAGCAACCGGAACCTGCCGAATAAAATTTTCCATTTTTACCAAATCCCAAGACAGGGTAAAATTTTTAACCCCCTCCATTTCTAGTAAGAATTCTTTACCGTTGTACTAACTATCATGTTTTCCACTCAATTTAACACAAATTCGGCTAATTTTATTAAAAGAAGCAAGTTTTCCCCAAAAGTTTTATTTTACAGTTCCTTTGTCTTCTGAGTTAGGTTCAAAATTAAAAGGTTACGGTACAGAACATTGATAGTCAAAATTTGAAACAAGTCGACTGGTCAATGCTTTTAGGTAATTAATCTTATCAATGACAGTTTTATTATATATATATATATATATTTAGATAATTAAAAAAAATTTTTTTTAAATACTTTTGAAAAATATTTTTAATAATTTTCTTCTCTTGTCATTATTTTTTTATTATTTTCCATATTTTCTCAATATTTTAACTTCAATATCAACAGAAGAAAAATGTCGCAAACCCCTTCATATTTATATTTCCCCATTGTATCGAATATAGGAGTATTCCAAAATGCCTTTAGTTCAGTAAATAGTCGAATTTATATCGACATGTTAAAAAGTTAAAAAAAATTTTTTTAAGGAAAAAGTTTTCAGATTTTTTCAAAGAAAGAAAAATGTTGCTAAAAGGATTTAACCATTGCGCAACAGTTCTTACGTAGCATCCCACCCCCCATTTACTCGAAGGTTTCAAATATCGTCATTTTACTGTTTCCTTGAAAGTTCCGAACAATCAACTCCAGTTTCAAGTTCTTAACAACAACTTGTTCTTCTTTCTTTTTCTTACAAAATAAACTTGTTTTTAACTAATTTTGACGTATTCCTCTGCAACTTTATATTTGTTTCTTCAAGCGAATTTTTCTAAGAAAATAAATAAAGGTTTTCCTGCCTTTAAAATCTCAAATCGGAATTAAGTTAAATCGTATCGCAAATCGAATGTTACTTTATTTTTATGCTAATGGTTCTAAAATCTAGGATACACAACTCATGACAGTATCCCCCAGCACCTTTTTTTCTTTCTTTATGTATTTGTTTTTCTTTATTTATATGTTTTTCTTTAACTTCCAAAGAATTTAACAATGCTTAACTATACTGAAGACTTCTATTGACTTGTGAAGAAGAAAAAATTGATAAACCACATCACATTAAACTCTATAGCAATTTTCATCCAATTTGAAATACAGAATTTCCAATGAATTTTTTTTTTTGAATAGAAACTCAAATAGCTTTCAGAAATGTTGTATGTCATAAGATTTTTAAAAAAAGAAATTTTTTCTTACTTTTTGTGGGGATAGTTACATTGACAATGTGAACCTTCATCTATGAAAAGGAGATACATAGAATCGAGTTAACATTTCTTATATACTAGTGAATTGGAATTAGAATTTTGTTGTGGTAGACACACTACACTTTTAGTACAATGTTTATATGACGATGAAATGAATAAAATATATCTTTTATAACCAAATTAAATTGGTATTTAGTTTAGTACTCTTTTATTAGCATTATTTAGCATATTTACTTGTTATACTTATGAAAAAACATCCGAGAAGTCACGTGATGAGTTTTTTTTTTCTTTTTTACTCTGCTAAATTTATTTAAACACAGATTTGTGTTCCCTGAATAAAGTTTGAGAAATTTACGATTTAAAAAGGAAATCGGATTTATTTGATTTAAATTGGATTTTTTTTCATTTCACTCAGATTTTTTTAGTTTTTTTTATAAATTACCAGCCATTAACAGTATTTAATGTTATTTAAAAACGATAATTTAGCAAAAAAAACTAAACCAACTGAAACTGAACAAACTTTCTAATTAAAATGAGTCAAAACTTCTAATTTAATCATTACAAACTTAGCAATGAATAAATAAAATCCCTCTTGCTTTTTTTTCAGCTAACCTTCCTAATTTTTTTAAGATAGTGAGGTAATTTGATATTAGATGTCCAATGAAGAGCAAATTAAATTAAATCAAAATACATTGAAGTTAAATAATTATTAAATTACTTCACATTTAATTATAAATTTTTTTATAAAATCAATAATTATTATTTTTTTTTAAAAACGAGTCACACTCCAAAGAACATATTTGTAAAAAGACTTTCGAATCAATGATATATTTAAAAAAAATGTATTGCTTTAAATCAATGATTTTTTTAAAAAAAAATCGCAGTTGAATTAAATAAAGTATTTTTTAAAAAAAAAAACAATCAAGTGATTTAAATCACGCAACCCTGTCCCTAACTGCTAAAATCCTTTCTTAAAGGTGTTATTTGAGTTGTAATCAGACTTGAGTAGATACTTTATAGGTATATGGGTAGCGCCTCGTCATATAAAGAAAGCCATGTAGTCAATGTTCCTTTTTTTGCTTTTTCTGTTATAATGCAAAACAGTTACGAATAATTTTCTGACCTAACTAAGTCACTATAGTAAAAAAATGTTCTAATTATTGGATAGCAGCCAAATATCTTGAAACTATTTCTCTTATTGCTAAAGGAAGTCATTTTGACTGTTTTTTAATTTCAATTAGAAAAACAATGATGTATATAATGACACAATTTCTTAGAATTTTGTGATTTTTCTTTGAACAACATATAATTTTTTTACTGTTAATATTTACTTATAACTTGTTTTGTTACTATAAATAATAAGAAAAATATAAAAACTTAATTTTAAACAAATTTATGTGCACATTAGTTATTCTTCCACAATCCAGTCGTATTGACTGCTTTTGGGCAATATAGGTATATACTAAGTTTCAGTCTTTCTAGTGTTAAGAAAAGAATGAACGTCATAATTTTCTTAACTATTCACGTAAGTGCATTAGACTTGAATGTGACTTCAGAAAGATTTTTTTCATAACTAATCACCAATCATTTTTTTTTTCATTCATAAGTCTGCAGACTTTTGTTCTTGAATTGAATCTGAAAACTCGTTAAACTGAAGAAAACATAGATTTAAGAATAAAAAGAATTACAACATTAAGATGCATTAAGATGGATGGTACTTTCAGATTTGCAGAGAAAATTGAACCATATACTTCTAATCTTCGTATCAGTTAGCATAAGAGCATATCACCTTCCAAAAGAAGCAAAAATTTTTAGTAGATATCAAGAACAAAGGAGGAAAGATACAACTAAGAATTTTAATCGCTATTCCCCCATTTCAGAGATTAAGTTGTCGTTATAGTTTATTTACGTCGCACTAGAGCTGAGCAATGGGCTATTAGCGACGGTCTGGGAAACATCCCTGAGGATGATCCGAAAACATGCCATCACTATTTTGATACTCTGCAGAGGGGATGGCTCCCCCACTTCGGTAGCCCGACGACCTGCACGCGAAGTCGAGCACTTTACGGTAGAACAGTTTATCGAGGACCCATACCGAACACCCTCGGTCCCTACGCAGATGTATCCAAGTCGTCACCCACCCACAAACTGATCGCAGACAGTGATGCTTGACTTCGGTGATCTTTTGGGAATCGTGTCTTAACGATCAGTCCGGGACGCGAGTAGAAGACGCAGATGACGCTACACCTGCCCAGTGATCATGGTTTTGGTCCTCTCGTCTATAGTGTGGTGATAAAAAATGAGCACAAGTATTGTATTTCGATTACGCTTTTGGATGAATTCCAAACAGCCTCTAATAGTACGACGTTAACGACCAAACCAAAAGATCGCGATTTTAATCAATGCAATAAAATAGGCTTTGATTTTGTATTCGTTTATTGGTACACATACTTGCAGAACTTCTGTGCTCAATCGCATAATTGTCACGTAGAGAGACAGATATTACAAAGAGATACATCAAGGATTCCGGAGAGATTCGAACCCGATACCTTCACTCTACAAAGTGTTTGGAGGGGGAAACCACTCGGGCAGGATTTCACCGTAGATGTTGATGAAGATAGGTAGGTAAGTACTTTATTCATGTCGAACTAGACTTGCACACGATGGTCTGGGAAACATCCCTGAGGATGACCCAAAGACATGCTATCGCATCTGTAAACCGATTCCTCGAATTTAAACATAGATCTGAAGGGGAAAGAAATTTTCTACCGATCCCTGTACCCATGGTACTGCTCAGCTACAGAAGACAAGACTTTCGACTCCACAAAGTTTACGAAACCGTATGTTACATGTACTCAATGGGTCTCAGCGGAGTCGAAATTCGAACCACTGCCCCTCCATACCGGTGTCCGATTCTCTCACTACACATCATTGAGGAAGACAGAAAGAAGCTGATAAATGCTCATAACATATAGAAGCTGAGAGGTTTCCCTGGTTTCATGTTCTCGTCTGCAGCTTGAAGGAAACGGGTTCGCACCCTGCTTCAATCCAAGACGCATCTTTGTGATGTCCTTTCCTGATTCATTCTATTTGTTATTCAAACTGACAATAGCTTTTAAGCCGGCGAGGTGGCCGAGCGGTTAGCGTGCCTGACTGCAAAGTCAATGGCTGCGGGTTCGAATCCTGATCTGGGCCTGGATGTTTCTCAGTGTTGTCATCTGTTGTGTGTGATGTGTGAATGTGGTCCACCCTATGAACGGGTATCTGAGGCAGTGTGGCGTGGGTAATGTAGCTCACCTCCATGACTTATGTTCACAGATGCCCACTGGGGTAACATTAAACAGCACTTCTGGCATCTTCCCTGATGAAGAACGTAAAGGTTCAGAACCTGCCATTAGAAGAAAAAAAGAAAGCAACAGCTTCTAAGCCATACTTGATAATGAACACACAAGACTTCATAGGTACGTGCATCAATAACAAAAATAAATAAACAACTGTTAAAATTTAGATGAGATGGGCCCCTCCCTCACAAACAGTATATTTCAATAAACGCTGTGCGAAACGTGGAGGTAGCGGGCCCGAATATTGTGCTATCTGTCTTCTACTTGACAAAGGTTTATAATCCTTAATTTAAGCACACAAGTCTGCTAATGTATTTTGACCCAACAAACAAACAATCCGTTAAGATTTGTAGCGTAAAGCTTGTTGCAACGATGACGAATATTCTAGAATTGTAAGTAATTATTTTTCACTCTTATTTAAAGATTTGTATGCATGTATGTTACCTTTACTGACAATTTCAACTCTGTGTTTATATATCAGATAAAAATTACAATTATGAGATTATTTGATGATTACACTATTATGATTATATGGAAAATTTGTCTATTCAACAACAGTATCATTCTAAAAAAAGCTTTGTGTAAATTATCTTTGGAATTTAAAATTATTTTTTATGTCCTTTAAAATATGTTGTTCGATAATAAATGTTTTTATTACGTTAGATGTCTTCAAATGGAAATCATGCTCGTTACTCCAAGTTTTATTTTTTTACCATAGTTAATTAAATTTTAAATTTCTGAAAAATATTAAAATTAACAATATTCAGAGCAATTCAATTCCAAACAATATTCAGAGTTTAGAAATAAATGTGAGAATCATGGAAAAAATGATAAAAATTTAATACTGTAAACCTAAAACAAACAAGTATACAAATATAAAATAAATTCGATTATTCTATAAAATAAATAATGACGCATGTTTGGATTTCTGAAATGTTTGAATTAAAAGAAAACAAACTTTTATGAAATATCTAATATTTCCCTGATGATCAAATGCTTAAAATGTTCAAATTTTAATCTACAAGTTGATTAAATTCCATTTCCGTTCAACCTAAATAAATTACAGTTGTATTAAGAACTATGTACAAGTTTGCTATAAAATTGCGATTTATTTACGAAATTCGTATGAAATATTAGGTAGAATAATTTTTTGAAGATTCAATAAAACTTCAAGCTTAGATTCGAGCTAACGTAATTATTAATTTTTAACGTAGCGTAATTTATCAATTTTTAACGTAATTTATATTTTTTTAAAAATATCTTTCCCTCGTGCAGGGGTCAGGGAACTGGCCTTGCAGCAAAAAGGTTTTGGGTTCGAATCTCGGCCAAGGCATGGATGTTCTTTCAGCTATCTACTTTCTTCTATCTGTCCTGACTGTGAGAGCAGCGTTGGCCCATTTAATAGGGTGTCCCTGAAATAGGCATCAACAAGTTCGGTCCTAATTCGCCTGAATTGACGAATGTCAACCCTGGTGAGTATTAGAAAAAAAATATTTCTCTTTTTATCAAAAATAATTGCACTTATCGGTAATTTGGGACCCAGTTTCCAGTTCAACGACATTGGTTCTTATATCCGACAAGTTCCGAATTTTAATTATTGTGATGTACAAATTAAAAATTTAGTTATTCAACAATATTTTGGGATATATTGTTACATTTTAACTAATTCATATCATTCAATTCCTACTATTAGTTCATACTCTCTCTTATTCAAATATGCAATCGTTATTAAAAATTTTCAAATATTCACTCAAGTCCAAATACATTTTTTAAACTTCAAAGTGGATGACACTGGATGTTAATACTGTTTTTTTTTTCAAATATTAATTCATTCATTAAATTTTTTAAATTAATTTTAGCTTTACATGGGGGGAAAAATTATAATTATTTAATAAAAAATAACTAAAATAAAAGTTTTCTTTGTTCACCTAAGTAGGAATTGAATTTTAAAATTTTTTTTATATTGTTTTTAAATATATCTTTAATATATTTTTAAATTGATCCATATTTTCTTTATTCAAATGAAATTTATCAGCACTCTCAATATCTTATTCAATAATAATATAGTTATGCATAATATTCGTGATATTATCTTTTTGATATGTTGCTTTAACTACTGAGTGCGATATTATCAAATTTGATAATTGTAGGTGTCAATTTATAATTGTTGTTCTTTTATGCGTATTTTATCATTAATGATTGCAGTAGTGTCGTATTTCGTACACTTAGGGGTATTATCCTGTGCATACCAGAACCCAGCGCGTTCTTATGTGCTGTCTTCATTGTCTCTGTAACAGAGAAGTATTTTAAAAAATTCATAAATCCGTGTCATTTTGCTGTTTTGCATAGCCGTATACATTCTAACGTTGTTTGCTGACACTTGCTATTTTGCTCGCTCAGCTAAACTCTCAAGTCTCATTCATCTTTGTTTCTTTAAAAGTCAATATTAACAAAAAACATTTTATTAAATAATTCGAAATATTTCTCCTGTATAAAACTATGTATTTGACGTATTAATATTTAATGTTCATGTTGCTAATTAGAGTCCGTATATTATACATATTATGGGCACTGCTAATTTGCAATTTTGTTTCGTTAAGAATGTTTTCGTATATTTTACAAAATTTTACTAAAGGAAATTTACAAATTTTAATTACGATAAGAAAATCTTTGTACATTAATAATATTATTGATGAAACAAATTTAGCATTCAAAGTTTACGAAGAAAACTTACGTATGTATTTTACGTACTAATATTTAATGTTCATTTTGCTAATTAGAATCCCTATATTATACATGTTATGGACACTGCTAATTTGCAATTCTGTTTCGTTAAGAATGCTTTCGTATATTTTACAAAATTTAACGAAAGACAATTTTTCATTTTAATTAAAAATAAGAAAACCTTTGTATATTAAACGTATTGACAAAGTAAGTGTGTCATTTATATTTTGGTTAAAACGCTTTTAGATATTTTATACAATATTCATAAAATTATATTTCCGTTCAGAGTTCGTAATAATGCATTTGTATATTTTACGACAAAGCAAGTTTACCTTTAAATTATAATTTTTGTAAGTTTCGCTCAGTACTTTTGACGGCGATTTTATCATTTAAATTTTGGTAAGAAGATTGTCTTATATTGTACTTAGTATTGACAAATCGAATTTAGTATCTCATTTTAGTAAGATTTTGTCTTGTATATTCAAGGGAATATTTACAGCATTTGCCCAAATTCAATTTTGAAATGAATATTGCTTTCGAATATTTTACGTATTTTTCGCTTACAGAAGTTACCATTTAGATTTGAAAAAATATGCTTTTAAATACAGTCGGATTTTTATTTAACGAACTTTCATTTTGCAAATTTCTCTATTTTCCGATTTTTTTTCGAGGAACCAAATACATTTTGGAAATTTCTTCGTAAAATAACTTGCAAATAGCGAAGTGAATTTTCTATTGAACGAAATCCCCCCCAAGCTCTTGGGCTCATTCTCGGGCGAATTCTAACCCCCCCCCCCAAACAATTCATTTTATTTAATTCCCCCCCCAAGCTTTTAGTGGGCTCATCGTGCGCCCACCTCCCCCCCTGGTGGGGGCCCCTGTTCGGAAATATTTGGAACTTGTTAACGCATTTTATGCAAGAAATGATCTTGAATTGATTTTCGCGTCCACTTATTGAGAAAAGCAGTGAAATCCTTTTTTGTATTTCAAACGAAAAACTCAGACAAAATTTTATCTGTAGCAATTAAACTTAAGAACGCATGTCGTATGTTTCAAATTACTTTTATAATAAATGTAGCTACAATTTTATACATAAAATAAGCTTTTTTTTAGTTGAAAATTTATGTGACATGGTAGTGTAACACTGGATAATGTTTTGCTCTATTCTTGTTTCCCATGCAGATTTCTTTTACGGTTAAGATTTATGAAATAAATAGTAGATACTAGTTTACAAGATAAAGGTATATCAATTGCTATTTTAATTATGTCTAGTGTTCATGAATTTAAAAGCTGTTTTGTTTTGTTTAAGCATTTCAAAAGGTGATTTTCTATTTAACCAATTTTCAATATGACGTACTTATTATCGGGATTTAGCGACGTCATTTAATAGAGGTCCGACTGAAGCTTACTTTTTATTGACGAAGTCAAATTTACCATTTATATTTCCATTAGAAATTAATTTTGAGTCTCTATTCTTTAGTAAAAATATTACAAAAGATGAAAAAATATGTTGGTAATTAGAAACCCAATTAAATAGAACAAAATTTAAATTTAATTTATAAACAAACCTAATGCTTGGAAGAGATTTTTTTTTTACTTTATTAAATAATTCATAATTTTCTATCTTGCTTGAATCTAATGCTTGAGATAACAGGCAAAATTAATTATTTCAAAATAAATTTAATGATTATTCTCTCAAAACGAAACTCAAGTCTTAAGTAAGCTAGTATGCAGGGAAGTTTTCGAACTTAATTATTTGAACAATTAATTATTTTCGGGAAAATTGCTCTTTCCTTATCTTTGATATCAAATGAATAGAAGCATTATGGAACGCGACCTACGATTTTTCTCAAATGAGAGTCGATTTTTTCCCCTTTTTTTTCACGATCTGATAAGCTAGGAGGGTTTATTATAATAATTTATTGCACTCTATGCCTAAAAAGCAATGATTTAAATAATACACATAATTTAAAATTAGATAGCTTCATTTTTTAACTCATTTTCTTCATTTTCAGAATTCATTTATTTTCTATTCTTTAATTAAGCTCCAATGAATTACAATGATTCCTAAAAAAAAGCGTTTTATTGCTTTTTTTAACTTATTTTTGCATAAATCACAATCATGGAGAATTTCTTTGTGTTTATACACATTTCTCTTACGTCGTAAAAAAATATTTCCTGTTTTGCATTAGCAACAAAGGTTAGAAATATCAAACGTGTGAGTTGTTATAAGCAAGAAAGCTTAGACTTGCATGTATAAAAATTTCGTGATCACAAATTCTTTTCTCGTGTACACAACGAAAAGCTGAAACAAATTGAGCTGTAAGTTGAAAGGTTAAAAGCGAATAGTTCATATCTACAAACGAAGTGTTCTATTTTATGCCATAATTATACTAATGTAGAATCAAAAATAATAATTCTTTCCATTGTTATTCATAGAAAGTTGAGTATTAGTCGCTCTGTTACGCTTTTGAAGAAAAACAATAATAGCATATTCGAAGAGCAGAAGAAAGTATTTATGACAGCTGTGAAAGACGAATTGTTGAAAAAAAATGCGTAGGAGACGTGCCGTTATTTTAACTGTTCATGTTGAAGAAATAGGCATCGATTCCATGCTCGTATTATGTAGTCTTTATGATGTTTACTTATGGGATAAATTTTAATTTTT